CCTCAGTGATGCTGCTGTAGCTTCAGACTGCTGGAGGATTCCCATGATGCATTGGTCTCCTCTCCTCTCCTCTCCTCTCCTCTCTCTTCCTTCCATACAGGTATAACCACCATTACATGTCACTAGCTCTGTGTTTGTTCTCTCTGCAGATGTCTCTGGATCCGGCGCTTCATGTCTCTGACCTCCAGCCGCCGGCCTCACCGACCCCCACAATACTTATATTCATATTTATCGATCTGTTCCATGATCTCCATCTACTATCCTGCTACCCTCCCCTCCCCCCTCATCTCCACTCCCACCCAACCGGTCCAGGCAGATGGCCTCCTTCCCTGAGCCTGGTTCTATTGGAGGTTTTTTCCTCCCTTGGCGGGTTTTGGTTCCTTCCCACTAACCGCTTGCTCAGAGGAAGTCCAGAGGCTGCTCTGGTTCTCTCTTTAGCTCTGTGAGGTCTGTACCTGACTGTGTTCAGGCTGTGAGATGACGTGTGCTGTAAACTGAACCCCTAACCCGAACCCTTCCTGAGGACGGCGCTGCAGCTGGTTGGAGGTTCTACAAGAGAGATCTCTGTCACTGTTCCACTCAGTCATGTCATTTACTCCGAGGAAAAAACCATGACTAAGAATAAATGCTGGAATACATTCATCAGGAATCTCTTGCATGCTGGAACTGTTCCCTCCACAAAATTCTTTTGGACCTCACTCTGTGGTGAAGCTGACTGGAAGAAACGTGGCTCGTTGGTGATGAATGCTGTCTGAATAATAAAGTTAAAATAATGCATAAAATATATCCAGCAAAGACAACTGGAGAGAGCTTTACGGTCAATATTGAATGTTCTCGTGTGATTTGTGGAAATGAGGAAGGAACGGTTTGCCATCTGTTTGATCATTGTGTGTTCACTAGAATATTCTGGATGGATGTTCAGAGTTACATCAACAGAAGAACTGGACAAGCAACCCACATCAAAGAAAAGGACTTTTTTTTTAAAATTTAAGACAAGGAGAAAGAGAACAACTTTATTTTTTTTTTGTACAGATTCTGCTTTTTCTAGGGAAATTTCACATTCATAAGAGGAAATGGGCAGAATGCAAACCAAGGTTTGAACATTTTCTGCATGAACTGAAACAGTTCTGCACATCTATTGAAGGCCTGAAGAGCTGAAGGCGCTTAAACCTGGCTCTGTGTTCAGTAGGTATTGTGAAGCTTGATGACGGTATTGAGTGTCTCTGTCCTTCCACCGGTCAGGTTCGCTTTTGTTTTTCTGTTCTGTATGTTTATTAGTATTTTGTATTGTCTGTACTCTGTTCCTGACTCTGTGCAATGCCCTGCCAGTCAGTGTCTGTTTGTGCCTTAATATGTAAATAAAGTTTTTTTTTTTAAAAAAAAGCTCGTCTTCATCCAGCTCGTGCTGCGGCAGGAGCAGCGCGGGTAGTGTATGTGCGCATGCGCTAAACAATGTTGCGCAGTCTTGACTCTCCTCAACACTTCTTCAAGAGCCGGAAACGAACCCAGTCCGTCATGTGATGTTTGGCTGTTGGATGCTCAGTGACTGTAGCTGGGAGGGTATCTGAAGAAGGAGACTACGGACGGGTTCGTAGTTCGGTTTTGTTTTACTGCTGGACGCAACTTTCGGCTCGTAGGCATCGAGCTGCTGCTAGCTGAATGTTAGCTACATCGTCTTGCTAAATAGCTAACATGTTAGCTGGTTTATTTTGTCGACAGAGTTCTGCTGCATCAGTGACGACGTTTAACCAACAGGTTCTGTTTCCCCCTTAGTTGTTCTGGATACCAAACCTGGAGCCGCCATGGCTGATGTGAGTACAGCTGCTTTGTCCTTGTGCTAGTTCGCTCCTGTCCTCCCCGATGTCCACTGGACCCGGGGACCGGGATTAGCCCGGTGCTAGCTCACATACGGCCCCCCTGCGCTCCGCAGCTTTAATTCGCTCATTCGTCACAATCGGGCCCAATTAGGTGTCCGTACAAAGTGACTAGATAATGAAGACCGTAAACATCACATGTAAAGTGCATCTACAAGCAGCGGAACTAGCCGTGCTGGTCAGAAACTTGTGAACAAGTCTGATCGGAACAATGAGATCCAGAGACGGCCGTCTGGTGCAGACTCCTCTCACACATCCTGTGTTCCGGTAATCGGGCTGCATGTGTGGATGCTGGTCCCGTATCCGTAGAAGTCACGGAGCAATGTGTCAAAGTCAGACCAAGGAGGATTTCCCTTTAACTTTCAACAGGACACCAGTGAGCTGAGCCGGGCTAGGGTTCGGTCCGTTTGGGGAGTTGTTTAAGGGTTCGGGTTCGGGCCTTTGGGAGTTGTTTAAGTCATTTCAGCATCAGTATTCATCCAGAAACATCACAGAGACGCTTCATACACAGTTTATGTGCTGAAGTGACAACACACCGTTTCCTGTCAGGTGACTCAGTGACCATCACAGTACAGCCTTGCTGCCATGGCAACAACACAAAGCAGGCCCACTGCTGAGTCTGTGCGCTCACCGTAACGGACACGGAGCAGAAACTCAAGCTTAACTCGAGTATATTAACGGATATACGCACACTGGCAAACCCACAGCAGCCTTCCAAGGAGACGCAGCATCACAGTTCTGCTTTGTTCCAGATGCTAACGTATCGGTACCAACTGAAGCTGCGCTGTCAAAAGGACTCACACAGAACCGTGTATGTGGATCAAACTGTGAATCATGTTCACGTTTCTCATAAAATGTTTTTGGTAACCACTCCATCCAAACTCATCAACTCTTTCCTCTTCATGCTCTACAACCTGCAGAACTCAAACTTCTACAATAGATTCAACTCAGAAGTGCCAAACCAAATCTAATGATGATAAGAATTCCAATAATGGGATGACTGCATATTTACAGACACGACAGTCGATTTAGAAACCCGGAGAATACATCTGAAGAAGCGTTGCTGGAGGAGCTGTGATGCTGAGACGTCAGATGTGGGACAGAAGAAGGACGGCGCCCTGGCAGTCCTGTTCAAGTGAAACTGAAACCATTTTCTGACATGTCCTTGCTACAGACACTATAAATGTAGAAAAAAGTTCTTATTCACTAATGAAATAATGATTTACATGAAAAACAACCTTCAAACTTCAGAGACTGTGTTGTTGTTCAGGGACGTTGCTGCTGTTGGGTTTTGGTCGGTGTGTTGACTGACAAGTTGCTCTTTAGGATCTATTTACACAAACCTGGCCCGCTGACTTTCTGCCCGTCGCCGTAGCGACAGGTTGTTGTCAATCTCTAACCAATCAATACAGGTAAAAGACACAACCTGTCACTACCTGTCTGCACTTTCATCTAACAATGTGCAACCCGTAATCTTAACATGCATACAGACCCTTCCCGTGTCATCTGTTCTATGTAGTCTGTGCTCAGTGTAACCTGGACAGCGCACTGCACTGATCTGTGGTGTCCACCACATCACTTCTACATTGGTTTAGATGGGAGCTGATCTCTGATGTTATGCTCTTATCCACTTTAGCATGTTGTCATGACACAAAGATCTTTAAGCTTTAGCTTCAGGAATATCTGCAGGACAATGTTCTGATCCAGGTGCAGTTACATTAATGCCTGTGGCTCATTGGTCGGTTGTGTGGCAGCCAATCCGTCAGCCTGTCCACCTGTGGGATCACGTCCCATTTCTTTCTCTCTTTTAAAAAAATCTTGCCAACAGTTTGCTTTCTGAAACGACGTGTTACGATGGTGAGAACTAAATGTATGTTTTGGGGTTTGGATATGACGAATCTGAGAGTATAAACATCTGAATTTCACTCCACGGGGCTGAACGTAAGCAGGTCTCCATGTACAGCAGATTTCTGATCTCAGTGGGACCTTCAGGTGAAACAACGGTAGAGAAAACTGTACCCAGACAACATAATCACCAGTTAAACTGGAACTCCGACACTGTCCACTGAGCACGCTGTTGGTCTACACAGGACGATACGTTGTAGGTTCACGAGTCAGCTGTTGTCTGCACAACATGGTCAGATCTGAACAACTGTACAAGCACAAATCACAGATTAAAACAAGACAAGGAAACTAGTGCAGGCAGAACAGCGGCAGGGCGTCAGAGCTTCTACCAGAGCACGCTGTGAGGTGCTCTGCAGGAAAAGTCCAGCTGGAAGCAGGACAGGGATTCAGGAGGACACCTGAGGCTGCTGAGGGATGTGGAGGCTCTGCAGAGCTTTTTGTCGACTTAAGCTTTACCAGGACACAAACCGAGCACAGCAGGTCGTGGTACTTGTTCGGTCCTGTGTTAGCCAGTGTCTGTTTCAGCACAGTCATGGTCATGTGACTTTTCCCCTTTAGTTGAACATATTAAAGGCTGTGTGTGGAACCGGATCACATCGTCCTGCCTGGACAACCTCATGTACATTTTATTTAAAGACTTCTTAGTCTTGTAAGAATCTGATTAGAATGAGTCCACCACATTTTATAGACCAGGAGGATTTAGGTGGCTGGCATGGGCATGAACGTTTAGTCAGCTGGTGTTTAATGGAGTTTCTGTCACTGCTGTGGTCTGCATCTGTTCTGTCTGATCAGCCCATCACTCACTTTGATTCACTTATTGATCGATTGTCATTAGTAAGGTGACTGGCTAGCTTGTTTTGTTTATCCTGTTTTCTAACATTTTTCTGCAGGATTTGAAGAAATACCTGTACAAACAGCTGCAAAGGTGAGTCTTATTCAGTAACATGTTAATTCTGTTCAGTGGAACTATTGGTGTTTAATTTGCACAACCTGCTGTATGTCTTGCTGAAGTGTTGAAGGTCTTCATGCTATTGTGGTGACAGACCGGGATGGCGTTCCAGTTATCAAGGGTAAGAAACCTTCTCTAACTTCTCAGTCTTCATTTTGTTTACTGATGCTGGTGATTTCATTTGCCACAACAGATTTAGTGCTTATATGAGCTCATAATTTATTCTCATATTTTAGGAGTAAATGCAACAGAAAGAGAGCTGGAGTGCTGGAGTGAGAACAACAGCAGATTAGTATCTACAGTTCTTCAGAATTGCACATTGACATGACGAGCTGGTTCAACATTTAACAGCTGAGTTTCAGAACAACTTCCTCCTGGTTTAGTTGCACTGTGACAAGTCTGATACCCATCATGTCATTCTGACCAGTCAGAACTAGAGTCAGAGATATCTGGAGCTACGCTTGAACTGGTCAGATAATAACTGCAGATATTGTAAACGTCAGTGTGACTCGTCTGAACTGCTGTGTGTGAAGCTGCTAATGGGAAGCTTCCCATTGGATACTGGTCCAGAAAACATCTGAACAGAAGTAAGCGTAGCTGTTGTGTTGGAAAGGATGGCTGGAAAATGCTCATAAATGGGAGGAGCCCATCAGCAAGGAGGCAGTGGACACGGAGACCTTAACTCATTAGAGACGTGGTGGACATGTCCCAGAGCTTTGGCCTCAGGCTGCTGCCATACGAGGTGATGGCTGCAGTGAGAGGAGCTTCTGATGGAGCTGCAGATATCTGAGACATCATGTCGCCTTGTCAGTGCTCTAATTCAAGTCTGTAACTACACTCTGACTTGTTAGACTGCCAGTTCAAGATACCTACAGCATCTTTCTGTCTAGTTGAAACCTAATGAAAGATTTCTAAGAAGGACAGTTCTGACATGGTGCTTTGAGGGGAATAAAAGATGTTTTGAACTATAATTATAACTCATTGAAATTAAACTGTAGATTTTTAACACTGCTCGCAATTTGAGTCATAATCGTAGATATCTGTAAAAAAAAAACAAGATAAACTTTATTAATCCTTCACCGGGGAGATGAACATGCTGCACAGCTGGCTACAGATCAGGCATAAAGGAGCAGGACAAGAACTAATGATGGACATTGTGGATACCTGAAAAGGAAAAAACTAAATGAGTGATATCTGCAGTACATATCCAGTGCAGGTGTTGCTGAGGCAGCTTGCCATAGACTCCACTTTTAATTACGAGACAGCTCCAAGAAAAGTTTTCTTTGGTCGTGGTGATTATTCACCAACTGCTAAATGCTTGTTGAAGTAAAACACGCCCTACCTGGTTGATCTGGACACTCTAGAGGATGTTGCTGTAACAGCTAACCCAGCGTGTTGTGGAGGATCCATCCTCTCTCTCCTGCTGTAGGACTTACCTGTGTATGCAAGGGTTTATCATCTGAAAAGAATCCCTGACCCTGACCCGGTAGGATCACTGAGAGCCTGCTGTTAATTCAACAGTGACTGTCAGTGGTTCTGATGGATCACGTGTACATTATTCCTCCGCCTTTAAGGAAATAAAAACACATCTGTTTCATTATAGATGTGATCTTTTGGAAGGCAGTATTTGAAATGAGTGGTCTGAGCAGACAGGAAGCGTATCCACTGAGTGGGTTAGGGATAGCTGCTGTATGGCTACATCCTAACATTCTCATTGGATCCCTGCAGTTGCCAATGACAACGCCCCAGTCCATGCGCTGAGACCTGGCTTCCTGTCCACCTTTGCTCTGGCCACGGATCAGGGCAGCAAGCTGGGCCTCTCCAAGAACAAGAGCATCATCTGCTACTACAACACCTACCAGGTCAGACTCCAGCTTTACACCAATCAGTCCACTGATAATGAGCATGGCGCCAAATCATTCATTCAGCCTTTATGGATCATTGAGGTCTGCGACTGACAGGGGAATGGTCTCAGCTGTCTGCTTCCCCCTGAACACTGGTTCTGTCCACATTCTTTGTCGTGTGAATGTGAAATTTAAATAATCACTTTTGATTCAAGCAGATAGCAGAATATTTATACCCCAGACCTCCTCAGTACTCTGCTTCTTTAGAGCACTGAAATACAAACGATTGCTCACAATACCTCTGGCTCCACATAACGCATACGTTTAGGTTTGTTGGTGGTCAGGATTCATGTCCAGCTACAGAGGGCTTCTTGCAGTTTGCTGAATGTGTGTTGTTGTTAGCCTGGTCAGTTCCTGGTTTCTGTGTATTTATTAGGCACCCAATATATGCAGCAGAAGAATGACTGCACATTCAGTTCAGTTCTATTAGTGCAGCTCAGTTTACAGCTTGTGTCATCTCACAGCCTGAACACAGTCAGGAACAGACCTCACAGAGTTAAACAGAGAACCAACGATCCAGAGCAGCCTCTGGACTTCCTCTGAACAAGCGGTTGGTGGAAAGGAACCAAAACCCGCCAAGGGAGGAAAAAACCTCCAACAGAACCAGGCTCAGGGAAGGAAGCCATCTGCCTGGACTGGCTGGGTGGGAGTGGAGATGAGGGAGGTTGAGATAACAGGATAGCAGATGGAGATCAGTGATAGAACAGAACAATAGATATGAATATAAATATTCTGGGGGTCGGTGAGGCCAGCGGCTGGAGGTCAGAGACATGAAGCTCCAGATCGAGATGTCCACAGAGAGAACAAGCAGGTGATCTGAGCAGCTCTGACTATCAGCTCCATCACAGAGGAATGTCTTCATCCTGACCTTAAAGCACAGAGGGTGTCTGCCTCCAGAACCCAGACTGGGAGCTGATAGCTGAAGGCTCTGCCTCCCATTCTGGTAACTCTCTCAGAACCCTCCAGCTGATCCAACATGCTGCAGCAGGGTTCTGAGAGAGTTACTGGGACATCCTGATAATAAGGAACTACAATAGTCCAGTCTAGAAGTTCTGAATGATGGACTGGTTCCTCAGCATCACAGGGTGTTCCTGACGACATGTCTGCTGTGTTTCTGTGTTGAACAGATTGTGCAGTTTAACCGGCTGCCGCTGGTCATCAGCTTTATTGCCAGCAGCAATGCCAACACAGGTAAGATGTCTTTCAGTGATTTTTAGCATCTCTGGTCTCAGTAGGATAAGCAGATTTTAGCCTGGATTTAGATCCTGATGCTCTGGGAGTGAATTCTTGAGCTGAGGGTCATAAACGGTTCAGGCCTGATGACCTGTGACCACAACCCAGGATGTAGGAGCAGTCTGAAGCTCATACGCAGTTCACACATCTCAAATACGACGGGGCGTCTGGCCTTGTAAGGTTTTAAAAAGCAAGAAAATCTAACATTAATTCAAACTAACTGGTAATCAGTGAGTCTAGCAGTAATTGGGTCATGTGGTCAGTCCTTCTGGAACAAGTTAGAAGCCCAACAACTGTCCTGAAATAACTGAATGTGTCCCTACAGGATACCTCAGCAAAGCACATGACAGTAGCCAGTCTGCAGGTGTCGTATGCTTGGAAGACTTTTCCTGAGTCTGAGAAAGAAAAAGAAGGATGTGACCTTAGAAATCAGCTCACACCTGCTCCTTGGCATCCTCTCATCTGCCTTCACCTCCAAGTTCAACCATTTTTGCAAATTCTTTACTTCATTGGACAACGAAGGACTTTTTTTACATGATGATCTAATAATCCCCTCTTGCATCCCTTTTAGCAAATAATAAAAGTGTTTGATGATCCTAAACATTTAAATGGGGGAAATATTCAGAACAATTCTAGAAGGAGGAAATTCTTTTCCATGGCATGGTGGACATCTCAGCCACTGATTGCTGATTCAGCCCTTTATAGGTGGTCGTTTTTCTGAGTCTGTAACACCCATTTGTCTCACTAAGGTGATGTTAACTTTGACTGGGCAGATCAGATGACTTTCCTTCAACTGTTTCTCAGCAGAACCAGTATAATAGCTCAGTAGGCGATGCAGATCTAATGTCTGGACTGTTCCTTTGTAGCTCCAGTCCAGGTGCAGAGACTCCTGTAGACAGAGGAAGCTCATTCAGGTGTTTATCTTATTATGTTCTAAATAAAAAACAAGCCCTTCGGTAGTGATTTCCTGTTTTTATCCACATAGTTCACATTAGTTGTCTTAGCTACCTAGCAAACAATTAACTAGCTTACAAAACATGAACTTAACTTCCATGAAAAACACACAATGATGCTTCATCTGGGGCTGGACCTCCGTCATGTGGTGCCAGCAGCAGCAGCAGCTTCACACGGCTGCTCCTCTTCAGCGCCCGGCTGATGTGGCCCGGTGTGACGGAGCGTACGTCTGAATGAAGCATGACAACTGAACGTCGGAGCTGAATCTCCCTGAAGATCAAATACAATTTGAAAGCAACTGAATTAAATTCAAAATTCAAAAAATAAATGCAATTTCAAGTTTATTGGAATCCAGTTTCAATCTAAGAAATGTAACTTATGAGATTTAAATTCAAATTTATTTGACAATGATTCAGGTTTTGACATTTACATTCATTTATAAACGGACTCAGATTCTGATATGTGCCCATAGTGAGCTGACGTTAGATGGACCGGATGTTGTGTGGAGCTGTCACACATGGTACAGTTACCTGCTGAATGTGCTGCTCCAGGTTTGGTCAATAATGGTACGTCTGTCCCTCTCGTATGTCCTCAGGTCTCATCATAAGTCTGGAGAAGGAGCTGGCCTCCCTAATAGAGGAGCTGAGGCAGGTGGTGGAGGTGACATAATCCCTCCCAGACAGGCCACCCTGATTCACTGGATCACATCCTGCTCACTGTCTTCTTCTTCTTTCTGTCTCCAATCGTGCATTTGTGTCCTCTGAGAAAGCCTGTCTGGGGTTGTTCTATTTTCAAGTAGAGACTAACAATGTTGACGTCTTGGAACCTGTTTCCACCATGATTGAACTTTGCTGTCCACCTTTTAATAGGCTGATTGTTGACGGTCTGAATAAAGGTTTCATTTATATCAGCTGAAGCTTTGCTCTTTTTTGTTGACAAGATTGTAATCTACACTGTGAAGATCTACACCACATTAAAATCTCCCTCATGCCACCAGAACACCTCCGACATGTCGGGCCATGGACACGGGACCTCTGGAAGTGTCCTGTGGTGTCTGCTACCAGGACACTCAGCAGTGGATCCTCTGGGTCCCGTGGGGCCTCTGTTGAGCTTGTTGTGGTGCATTTGCTCGACTGGATTGGGATCTGAGGAGTTTGGAGGCCTTGAGCTTTGGCATGCCTGAGCAGTGTTTGCGTTGTGGTGGGCCATATTGTCCTGCTGGGACTGCTGGTTCCGTACAGGGTCTGCTTGGCCTCCAGCAGTGTTTAAGTGGGGGTGCGTGGCTTTTTCTTTCAGAAGGTTGCACTGCATGATCAGTGTCCCTTCACCTGAATGTGTGGTACCCATGATGTCATAATAAAAGTGTTCATACTGTAAATGTTGTTTTGTTGTATAGAATTTAAAATAATGTCTTTTCTTAGTTGTATTTGGAGAAAAATGTAGAAACATGTTCTTAACCACATGTAGGCGCCTGTCACAAAAATACACAAAACATATTTAATAACTTCATAAATTAGGACTCAACAATTTGGAAGAAGCTATTTTCATTGAACTTTCAGAAGTGATGGAGCAGGTGTGACGAGTTGTACCCCAAGATCAGAAATATTGCTCGATAGCCTGAACCAAGTAGAACAGAGCTGAGGAGAACAAATGGTTCTTTTACTGTTTTTAATTTTTGTGATCAATTATTTGGTGTCAAAACTGTTCTACATGTTTTATTTTGTATATTTGTGACGTCAAACTAAATATGGCTCAGAAAATATGACTGCCACTGAGATCACAGGAGAACCTCTGCATTACACCCGTCATCAGTTTAATATCTGTCCCATAGTGCTGATTTGGAATCAATGGCATGATTAGAAATCACTCCAGTTACTTCATGCTATATTTTATACGATGAAAATGTCAGGCCAGTCAGAGGTGGTCGAGCAGAACCTGCTTTAAAAACTTGATGATTTTATTTTTATTCATTTGACCTTTATTTTAGCAGGTAAAAATGTTTAAGAACCAGTTCTCATTTGCAAACGTGACCCGACCGAGAGGCGCCAGCAGCAACAAACACACATGGAAGCTACAGACACACAAACATACCAGAACAAAAGTAAACAGGTCGGAAGCACGGAGGCATGTGAGTGAGAAAAGATGTGCATGAGGTCTAAGACTGTGTATATATATATTATATATATATATGTCAGTAAAGTCCAGCGTGATCAGCAGGAGCTCCAGTCTGTTGGTGGTGAGCTGAGTCAGAGTCGCATGTTTGAGGGACAGGGTTTGGGTTTGGGTTTGGGAAGTTGTTCCAGTCATTAGCTGCTGCAAAGTGAAAGGAGTTACAGCCAAAAATAGTAGAAGTGCTGCGATGATGAGCCTGATGTAGTTACTAGACTGAGTACGATATGATCATGGTGACGATTTAAGGTGGAATTACCCTATTTTAGAAACTGACCCATTTAATGAGGCTCCATTTTGCTGCAGCATTCAGATGGTAGAGTGAGAATTTATCCTGTACTCGGCGACCCTCCACAGTCAGATTTCAGTTTGTGGTGGATCAGGACATTAGCATCAAGAAGGTGCTCCCCATAAGTGTTTAGAAAATGCTGTTAAATATCATGTGACCACATCCTCCAAAAATCTCCTGTGTAACACCTTGCTGAGTCCGTGTCATAAAGAACAAGATAGTTGTGAATGTAACAAGGAAGCCAACCCACTGCTAGGTGTCCCTGCTCTTCCACAAGATATTACCTAGTGTGTGATTGCAGTAGAGGGCGCTGTTTGACATGTTTAACAACTCTGAAACGTCCCACAGGTGCTCCATTGGTTTGAACTCTGGTAACTGAGAAGACCATAGAATGTTATTCACATCATTTCACATTCATGAAACCATCTCCTTGTGCCCTGTGGAGCTCGTCACTGGCATCCTGAAAGAGACCATCGGGATGGAAATGCTTCACTGTGGGATTCAGGTGATCTCCCAACTTTGTGTTGTATTAAGATAAGATAAGATATGCCTTTATTAATCTCACAAGGAGAAATTCACATCGTTGACAGCAGCTTTCAACAGACGTACACAGATACGACACAGGAAAAAAACAAAAAATAAAAAATGTACATATTAATGCCCCCCATAGCATAGCATGGACAGTGATGCCCTCGCTGTCAGGGTAAATGGTTCAGGGTCCGAGGCATTTTGTGGCCCTCTAGTGGTTCATTTCTAGATGAGATTGTGGAGTAGGGTGGAGGTGGAGATGGGAATGTGTGTGTCTATGTGCATGAGTGGGTGCCGTGAACCTTTCTCTTCACTTGAGAGGGTTACTCTGGAAGCTCAGACACAAACCTGACTTTCCCAATGTTCCTCTAAAACATATGCTGTGCTTACGATGAACTCATTCGTGCCGATTAGAAGTCAAGAACAGGAGCAGCATTAATCTTTAGCTGCGTATCTCATATGTAACCCCTTCGACTCTGCGTTGTGTTTATTAATAATGAGTCAGAAGGCAGAACGGTATTTTCCCATTTATTGGTTCACCTGGCAACACAAAACCATTCTGGTCAGCGGACTCAGGTGTCTTGTGCGCAGCGCTCTGTGAAAGGAGCAGCACCGTTATAACAGCTCATGTCCGCTAGCTAGCTAGCTAGTTAGCGGACATTCTCAATCTCTCAAACCAATGCACACAGACAAACGACACACATATCCACACACTCCCGTGAACATTAATGTGACTGATTATACACTCATATTTCCAAAAATAAACAGAATAAACTCATAACATAACCATTCATGAGCTCGTGCTGTGCTCCGCAACCTACCTCATGCACGCCTCTTGGGAACTGACACCAGTACCCGTGACACACCACAGCTCCCGAGAGGGCGCCACTGAGCCAACAACAAATCACAGCAAGTGGAATTACAGAATTACACACATACATGCTGTTACAATAGTTCAACAGTAAGTGTGCGGTGCTTATGTTTATGTTCATGCTTAGGACAGAAGTCCTGGTACTTCCTAGAACAGATTATTTCTGTTCATGCAGAGACTGAATATCTTCTTTTTCTACCGTGAATGAATGTGCATCAAACTGATTTTAATCTATTTTAGAAAAGGGGGAAGACTAATAGTCACATCTGTCTACAAGAAGATGGAAAGACAGAACATGTTGCCTACGTGTAATGCAAGTGTGAAGCAAAAAACTAGTTCCTCATTTGAGTGCTTGTCGATCAAAATCTAGGCTTTTCCATTTCAGTAGCCTTCCTGTTCACAAGTTTGATGCAGATCACAGCTCGTATGTGTGCTTCTGACTGCAAGCTTAATGCAAAGCAGAACCAGGAAGAGGCTGTATCTGTGACTGGGTATGTTTGTAGCAACTGCAATATGGCTGCAGTTTTTCCCCTTGAAGGTTTCATCACCGTGACTCACATGTGGTCAGTCTGATGTGAGGCCTTCAAAATGCAAAACGGTGAAACTTTAACATTTCATTGAGTGGTGTGTGCTTTTCTGTACTGAAGTACATTCATGGCAGAGGGTTCCTTCTGTGATTTATCATCAGTGTGCATGAACCGTCCATGGTGTGCTCTCCACATGACATACAGCAACAAGCAGTCCACTGGCCATCTGACCTCATCACCACCTCCAGGCATCTGAAGCTGTCAGGTAAGAAGAAGGTGTTTCTCTTCTGTCAGCTTTCTGTATATTAACACAGTAGAAATCCTTTCACACGTGTTTTGTTAGACTTTACCATCTTTCTACTCAAACATGGCAACAGCAGTCTCACACTGAAGACCGTGTTTTCTCATGAGGAGAAAAAACCCAAAACAATTAAAGAACGACTTATCATTCAGCTAACAGCAGCTTTAACTGACGTAGCGTACGGCCTAAATGACAGCTGCAGTCCCGATGTGTGTTACGCCCGAGCCAAGAATTGGCTTTGACAAATGGAGACCTCCGTATGGAGGCGTACAATAAGAATGACTCTGTCTTAGCTGTGGAGCTCCCAGGACACGTTCATTTGCACGCAGCCCTGAACTCTGAAACCCTTTCAGAGGACAGAACCCCAGCGACAGGCTGCACAGCGTTCAGTGAGGAGAGGCTCTGCTCAGCAGGCTCACTGCTGGATGGTAGATTTCAAGACTTTATATTCAAGCAGGGCTGATTTTCTAAGCAATAATAAAAATATATAATGAAGACATGAGTTGTCTGTCTGTGATATGAGGATGTTTGAATTGATTTTGAGGTTTCAGGCACGTATAGCGCTGAAACCTCCTGGCCCGACGCGACGGGACTCTGTGTGTGAGCGTATGGTGAAGATCTAAATGCAAGTGAAAGAGTGGAGATAAAGAGAGAGAATGGAATATAAGAACTTTTCTTCAGATACCCTCTTCGACTAGATGTTGCTGCCTGAGGGATAAAGTGGCATCCCGAGCCTTTAATGGCAGCTCTCCTCCGTGGCTAAAACACACTGTGCAAGATGTACTGCTGGACTCAGGCACTAAGGATTAACACAGACGTTACAAAGCTGCTGGATGTGATGCACAACAGCTGACGATGTCTGTCATTTGTCATGTGGTCTCATGAACCCAGTCTCACTGTGTCCGGCTTCTGTCTGTAGTGTCTGTCCTTAGCTCACAGTAAACAGATGCACCAGTGGTTCTTCTTCTGTTTTATTTCTGGTTGTTGCCCCCAACTCCAGGTGTGGTTTGAATGGAACTCAGAGATCTTTATTTACTGTGATGCACCCTCAGCATTATGAAACAGCGGCAGAAGCAATAAACTTCAGTTGCTCTTGTTAGTTTGTTGTGTTGCTTGTCAGGCATTTGGGGTACCTACACCGTGAATCACATCAATTATGGGATAAAGTTTGCGTAGCTCTTGATGTGGGTATTTGTCATTCACACAAAACTACAACTGCAACGTCAGTGCC